CTTGTTCACGGGTTGGTAAAGAGGTGCTAGCATCAGATGGTACTCTGATTGACGCAGGCATTGCCACAGCCCTGTGCCTAGCTGTTGTGCACCCGCACACCACTAGTCTAGGTAAGATCCTTACTGAATAGCCTTTCTGTGCTATTGCAGTGATATTGCAGAAGGTCATTGCCACAGCCCTGTGCCTAGCTGTTGTGCACCCGCACACCACTAGTCTAGGTAAGATCCTTACTGAATAGCCTTTCTGTGCTATTGCAGTGATATTGCAGAAGGTCTTGATGGTAAGGTATGTCTTTTTGCTGATGATACGAAGATATGTAACCGGGTTGATGTTCCAGGAGGGATAAGCCAAATGGCAATTTATTTAGGTAAACTAGAAAAATGATCAAAGTTGTGGCAGCTGACATTTAATGTGGATAAGTGCAAGATAATGCATCTTGGACGTAAAAACCCAAGGGCAGAGTACAGAATATTTGATAGAGTCCTAACCTCAACATCTGAGCAACGGGATTTAGGGGTAATTATTTCAGATGACTTAAAGGCAGGCAGACAATGTAATATTACAGCAGGAAATGCTAGCAGAATGCTTGGTTGTATAGGGAGAGGTATTAGCAGTAGAAAGAGGGAAGTACTCATGTCCTTGTACAGAACACTGGTGAGACCTCACTTGGAGTATTGTACGAAGTACTGGAGACCATATCTCCAGAAGGATATTGATACTTTAGAGAGGGTTCAGAGAAGGGCTACTAAACTGGTTCATGGATTGCAGGATAAAACTTACAAGAAAAGGTAAAAGGATCTTAACATGTATAGCTTGGAGGAAAGACGAGAAATACACAAAGGGAATCAACACAGTAAAGACTGTATTTAAAAGAAGAACAACTACCACAACAAGTGGACATAGTCTTAAATTAGAGGGACAAAGGTTTAAAAATAATATCAGGAAGTATTACTTTACTGAGAGGGTAGTGGATGCATGGAACAGCCTTCCAGCTGAAGTGGTAGAGGTTAACACAGTGAAGGAGTTTAAGCATGCGTGGGATAGGCATAAAGCTATCGTAGATATAATATAAAGCCAGGGACTAATGAAAGTATTTAGAAAATTGGGCAATCTAGATGGGCCGAATGGTTTTTATCTGCCGTCACATTCTATGTTTCTATCTCCTCTGACCTTGAAATAATAAACCAATCCCCAAACATTATTCCCTCTGACCTTAAAATAACCAATAATAGTAGCACAGAGACTATTATTACTTAAGAAATGACTACAATAACAAAACATTCTTGCATATTTATGTTTTTTTTGTATTGATCTTAGGAGGTATTTTCTCTTCCATCTATTACAATGGGATGGCCTCTGTCCTAAATGCTATGCCCCAAGAAGCTTCACAAACAAAATATGGCATTCCACACCTTCTCCAGGGTCTGTGGAGTCTTCACCAGAAACATGGCCGCAATTCATGGTCTCAGCTAGTTAATTATGCGGTTCAGCTAGCAAAGGAAGGTTTTCTGGTGGATGAGGTACTGGCAGCGGCTCTGAAAGAAAAACATCAAACTGTCAAATCATCTATGGAATTATGCAATCTCTTCTGTGAGTCCAAAAACACCCTGAAAGGTGTAGGAGCTACTGTAAGAAACCCCACACTTGGCGATGTTCTGCAGCAGATTGCCACATCTATGACTGACCATATGCTTCCAACTGCCGTCATCCAGAGTCTGCTACATGATCTTGATGCAAGAGACAAGGATACATTCTCTAATGCTATGTCTAAGATAGAGCTGAAAGTAGAAGAACCTATAGAATTACACTTTGAAGGAATGACGCTGTATTCAACCCCCGATCCAACTGCTGGTAAGATACTAAGCGATTCTCTCCAAGAGACTTATAATAAGTCTGTACTTGAGGGTGTAAGATCAGATACTTCCATGTACAAAGCTTACCACCTTCTACTGAATGCCTCAATAATCACTTACATCAAAAGCGGGGTCAGGCCCAGAGACTCCCCAACCACCATTCCCACTGAAACTCTGCCACCTTGCTCTCCAGCCCCTGTTGGTAGCACTATATTGATAGCCAGTAAAAATGGCAGTGTCTTTGTAATGTCCCTTTCACTCAACAGCACCTTTGGGTCGGGATTTGTCTCTCCATCCACAGGAATCCTCATGAGTGACTTTGCATGTGGCAGTGAGAGCTTGTGTCCAATGTTCTGGGCTTCACCCTCAGTGCTCCTCGGAATGGAAGAGGAATCCCTGGGGTTAGGAGCTACCGGCAGCAGTTCTATACCCTTCTCATTGGCTCAAACTATCTTTAGCTATGTAACTCTGAAAAAGAACCTCACAGAGTCTGTCCATGGTACTTTGCTCAGATATGGAAATGCAGACTCCTGGCACAAGTATTTTGGTCTTGTGGAAAGGAAAGAAGAGCTGGTAAATGGAGAATACCCTGTGAGCACGATTGTTGTGGATGTTCAAGCAGAACATGTACACGTGGCGACATCGCATGGCCCTTGCTGTTATTACGAAGGATTTTAAATGCTAAATCTATTGTATTTATGGACTCATCCATAATGACTGCTAAAATTCTGTCTCTCCCATTTTTTTATGAATTGTATATGGTTCTTGGACAAGTCAGTTTTGTTATAATTACAGAATGTTTTGTAGAAACCCCATGCGGTGTCTTTATCACCAGTATCATTCCAATATTATATTTCCATAGACAATGCTTGTTGGTCAGGGTCTGGCTTGTTCTCTACATTTAGACTCCTCAAGTAGGTGTATCGTTTGGGAATCAGACCGTGATCTCCATTCAGGCACACAGGGAGTTACTTTAAAAAAAAACAATAACCACAAAGTTGAGTAAAAGTTGCTTTAATCTTTTGAATGCAGCATCATTAAATGTGGAATAAAAAAAAAAGTATGCACAGAGTACAGCACTGTACCTAAAGCCATAGGTTTAAGGGTAAGGTTTTGGATGAGGGGATATGAAGGTAAAGGTGCCCTGAAGGTGCTGAGCACTGTAACTCTTATCACTCACAGGCAAATCACGTGGTTCGTGTCCACAGCTCACTAGACTGATACACACCAAACTCCAAGTTCTTTCAATGATACTCCAACTGTACCTTAACAGAACCCCTTTAATTATCTGTGTCCTTTTTGTGTTGGATTAAGGATTTTATAAACACAGCATCCTTAAGAATCATCCTATTTTAGGGTGCTGTTTAACCCTATTAGCTACACAATGCTGTCTGCAAAATCTTGTCCTTATAAACTCTATGCCAAAATGGTATGATCCACTTACATATCACTGGCTGCCATACACAGAGCTACAGTAAGCCACTGAGTGGGTCATTCTATTTAGGAATATGGTACTTGGAGAACAGATTGTCCTGATGACAGACTCTCATTGTCCCTTAAGGAGTCAATGCACCTTTTTAACTAACCAATGTTAATGAAATGCATGTACAAAGGCATCTCCAGGAAGAGGGGAGATGGAATGAGAGTCAGAAGATAAACTCAGGTACTTTAAGATGAGAAGTGAAAGAGATGGGAATTTCTCCATTCATACAGTAGGAGGGTTATTTACTAAAGTGAGAATGTTTGGGAATTCAAAATGAACTTCAAATTTAAGTCCAAAGTCGCAAAACTAAAGACCGATTTGGAGACTTTTCTAATCCAAGAGTTTTGGTCTAAATATTGAAATTTGAATACATTTTGTAAGTGAATAACTCTTGCAGATGACTATGGAGAGGATGGGGCAAAGCGGGGGAATTGGGAGATGATCTATATTCAGACTCTTGGCTACCCCCACGTAGAGGAAAAAAAAGGGAAGTAAAATAGATTATCTCTGCACCCTTTGTAGGGAATCAGATGGAATTACTTGAAAGAGAAATGGATGTGACACTACGGTAAGTGGACTGGTATGTGTTCTCAATTCAGAAATGAGAAAATTATAAGGTTAGGACATTCTTATTCCCATATACACAGTTTTTTGTTTTCACTGAGAAATCAAAAACCAGAAAGGGGCAATAAAATACATCTAAATTACACCAAAGTGAATGTAACCTGAATAGCATTTAACCGGAGTTGAATATGAGTGGAGAACAAAATTAAATAAAAAATCTGGAAAAGGCCGTGTGTATATATAGTGCAGTACAATAAGTACAAAGAGATACATGGGGGTGGTAAAAAAAAACCTCACTAGATGGATGAAAATGCAGGCATATCTCCCTCACGAAAAGGGTAATAACTGTACTGTATAATGGCAATCTTCCAAAATTCCATACATTTATCAATACAATAATGCACTTGCAAGACATCAGGTGGTATGACAGCATATCTCCACAATAACCGTGGACACCACTATTATTGTGGCGATATGCTGTCATACCACCTGATTTCTTGTACCATCTGCACTATAGAACGCGGACATCTTTAACATTAATTAGCACTTAACAAAAGCTATCCAAAAATTACAAGCAATATCAGGATAATAATAATTAACCTAAACATTATTACTCCATTTGCCTTGTGGCCGAGATTTCAGTTTTTCGGAGACTGTCCATTTCTTCACAAAATTTTGACCTTTTTCCGGGGAAGATAGTCCAAAGTCTTGACCCTCATTTCTATCAGGCAATGAGGTAGGAAAACCCCATCTACACGACATATTTCTAGAGCGAGGCACCGCTGGGACTGCAGAAACCTTTCTGCTGTTGATCAAGGTAGTAGACAATAAGTCTTGGAATAATTGTAAGTCTTTTAACCCCTTAAGGACACATGACATGTGTGACATGTCATGATTCCCTTTTATTCCAGAGGTTTGGTCCTTAAGGGGTTAAAGCATCGGGTAATCAGATTGTTTTCAGAGGTGAGACAAAAATTTATATTTGACATGAGCGTAATTAAATATCACAAGATTATCTCTGGACGCCATTGGTGAAACTAATTCCGGTTTATATATTTATATATCTATAGATTTCTATATTTCTATATTTATATATTCTGTGGCCCTGTTCAAAAGATGGTTCAAGTTTAGAAGCTGATGGCAAAATTTCTTGAACCATATTAAAAACATGATCAGGAAGAGCCTTAGGCAAAACATTTTCAGGAAATCCCCTTATACATACATTATTAATTTTGCTGCAATCTTCCAGCTCTGTATTTTTTTTTATCAGCAAGAGCCTGCATACATGGACCAATACATGAACCTTATGCTTCAACTGGCGGATTTCATCTAAATGTTTAACTTCAATTTTCTTCAGTTGAGACACCCGGGATTCCAAAAAAAGCAACTTGCCTGTGAGTTCCTTGTAATTCCTCCTTTTTACCACACAGTTTTACCAGTAGCCAGGGCTGTCTGACTCTGCTGCCCCAGCACACACAGGGTATCAGCTTTCATAAGAGTAGAATTCCTGTGAGATCGTCTGTGTCTAGGCAGTTTTATAGAGCCTCTATTTGTCTTGATTCCAGATGACTTGGAGCCAGCTTTTCCAATAGTTTAAAGTTTCCTGTGTCCATCTCTTGCTGTGCACTGGAGATGCAGCAGGCACTCTCTCTGTGTGGACCCATGAGAGCTGCACCGAAGTGGCCAGAACCGCCAGAAACGCTGTTACACATGTCCGAGCTGCCCTTTGGTTTTCTGACTCCTCAGTCATCAAAGAACTTGCGCCCTTTGTACGTAGCTTTAGATGCAGCCATGAAGTCAACCACTGTCACCAGCGGGTTTGTTGCAGACTGGAGGGGGTTTGTCCCTCCCTCGGCTGCCATTACACTTACGCCAGTCTGGACACAATCGAGTACCGAAGGAGGCACAGTATGCCTGATAGAGACTTTAACGATGTCTCTCGTACGGTAGTTTATATCATATGAACAATCTGTTCGGTATTTTAAATCTTTTGATGCCATGGCTGTTCGCGGGTTTGAAGGCCCCATCTTTGACATTCGTCAGTTTAAAAGTCTTTTTGTGTGCTTGCATGTTTTGTAAGGTAGTAGGAAATGAATTTGCATGAACTCTCACAAATTTTCATGCAGTTTAAAGGGATTTTAATTCCATTAATTGCAGAGATCTAATAAATGGTGGCCAGGCCACGCCCCCAGAGTTGTACATCTTTATAGTCCAGATACGTAATTGTTTGCAGCTTTTGAGTGTGAATGTAACTGTGTATTTGTGAGCATTGTTGGAAAACAGTAGTGATTTTGTTTGGGTAGCGGAGCGCTAGTTCTGACCAGAACTCTTCCGCCGCTGGATCTGTGAAGACAGGAACTCTGGAACAAGGCGCTGAAATGTGAATAGCTCTAACCCTCCCCAGTATGATGGGGATGACACTAGTACTCACAGAACTGGATGACACACAGTTCCGGGAGTACAACTGGTTTATTCAGCTCAAACACAGCCTTTTTATGCACAGACCCCTAGTATGGGGTCTCCATACAAAATATACACAAGCTCCCCCTAGCTGACCCATTATCTGAGAGATAATTGAGTCAAAACTGAGTAACTCAATTATGTCAGTATATTTATATTTACATTTCCCAGTGTCAGCCAGATAAAGGGTAGCAGTGGCTGGACAGGAGCTGAGATGAAAGATAGGATGGGAGGGATAACAGCTGTGATAAAGGAATAGTAAAAGAAGTGGGGGTGGGACAACTAAAGTTTACTGCCTCCTATTGAGACTTGCCTATGACCAGGGAGGGGGAATCCCTGGTGGGCCGGTGGGAAAATTTGCTTGTGCCCTACCCCCTCTGTGATTGCAGACAGATGTTACCAGCCTGCACTGGGGAATGTATTGGAGCATTGCCAGGGTATTGTGAAGCAACCCTCTTAAACAATCCATGGAAGTTCGGCGGAGACACACATGTACCACCCCGTCGGACTTTGAAAATAAAATACCTGAGCGCCCCAAAAAAATTATTCAAACAACCGATCAGAGAGTTATGAGTCAAATTACACAGCATGGGAAAACTCCAAAGAACTTTCCCACGCTGTGTAAAGTGACAAAAAGCCCTCTGATTGGTTGGATTTCAAGCCAACCAATCCGAGTGCTGTGACAGGTAAATGTAAAGACTTCCCTTTCAATCTCTTCATTTACCTCTCTATCAGAGCACTCTGAGCCTAATTGCAGGGCATGGGAAGTCTTTATAAGCCTTTCCCCGCCCTGCGGAGCTCAGTCTGCGCGGGGCCCTGCATGGCTTTTTTTGGGGCTGAAAAAAGAAAACATCAAATGGTAAATATTTTTTTATTTACAGGGATTTCGTTTTATTGTTCCCTGCTCACTATTTTTAGGTTGAGGGGGGTAGGTTGGGGTTTATTCATTTTTTTTTGTGTGGGTGGGGGACTAGGGGCATTGGGACTGTGGCAGGACCCCTGCTTAACTGTGAATTGCCCTTTTCTTATGTGTGGATGTGCCCTCCTGGAATGTGTGTTTCCTTGGTAATCTCCCTTTCTATAAATTTTGACCTTAAATCCTGCAAAGTACCTTTGAACCACATGGGGGCGCTCTGGCGCACGAAGCCCTGTGTGCTGGACCACCCCAATACTCCATTTAGAACGTTCCGTTAGAATGGTGTGAAAACCACAGACCTCAACCAGATGGGGCGCTCTGGTGCACGAAGCCCCTCTCGGCCCCGTGAGCTGATTGGCACAAATTGGTTTCGCACCTTTCAGCGGATTGGTGCAATCGGGCTTTGTGCCCTTTCTTCTGATTGGTCTGCGAAACCCCTCTACTCCACAGGCTGCTCACTGTTTACTAGACATGCCCCTACTCGCAGCCTAGCGAGTAGAGCAGAATTTACTAATACTAAGTGTAACAGAACTATGCTTTTGCCTATGCTTTTTGCCTGGACTTATATATCAATGCCGCTGGATTTATTACAAAAACCGAATGACTAGTTCGTGGAAATATCCTTACCGGAGAATACAGCTCAAAATACCGAACATCGGACCACCCAAGGGAACAGTTAAATGGTATTTTACCTCCCAGCGCTTTTGGAGCCGTTCGCATGGTTTCACACGAATCCCTTTGTGCTCAGGTTAGATGGCCGCCATTTCGGGAACTTTACACATGTTCGCGGCCATCTTACGCACGAACAGCGGTGTTTGACCGTGAACGCATGGAACTAAAATCAGATACGCAAACAGGCGAACACCGCTGAGACCTCCAGGAGCTCGTAAGTTCGTGCTGGAACTACCGAACAACCGGCCGTTCGGTAGTTTTGCTTAAACTCACATAGGGATTTCAGCGAACACCAGGATGACTGTGGATGGCAAGGGGTTCGTGGGGTTTTAATGCACGAACAGAGACTGACCACAAGGCCAAAACTTATGGAACTCTTTTCGGCTAGAAAACCTGTGCGGTCGGTCAAAACTTCAATATGTTTATGAGGGGAGAAGACGTGGGGGTTTTATGTAGAACTATGTAGGTGTAGCCTTTCAGAGGGCACCATTGCATAAAAGGAGATCCCTGTCAATAAACATCAGTTCTACTTGACCCTTCAAAACGTAGCCTCGTCTCGTTCTTGGAGGGGATTTATGGTACCGTTACTCTGCCTCATTTTACAGCAATGCCGGATTATACACTTGGATATCGTGGATGGGAATAAGATCTCCATTACTTCACAGCAGCTTGCCTAGAAAAAGGACGTCTCTAACGGCAGATACCCCTTTCCAGCTGGGTAGCCGTTACACTAAGTAATCTTTACTTAGCATTAGTAAATTCGGCTGAAAGACCAATTTAGGTCTTTCAATCTTTTGGTAGATAGCTCCCTGATACCGTGGGAATTAGGGAGTTATCTACTAAGTACAAGATGCGGCCGCCGCACGAATAGGATCGGAGTTTCATTCATATGAATGAAATTCTGATCCGAACAAAGTCCTCAATTGCGTCCTAACACAACTGGAGAAACTGTTCTCTACTACCAAAATTCGGTAGTATCACCGCGTCCTGTCTAAGTGACAGGACGTTTGGGAATACTGACAGGAAGCATCGCAAGATCACGGATCAAAGGTAAGAATTGTGGGAAAATTGCTCTGACAACAGGAAATAAAGCACACTTTGCTCCTCCGCTGGTCAGGCGTAGGAAACCTCCATAAGACAAAGTAGTCTCTTACTTTGTCTTATGTTTTAAAGAAAACTAGAGCGGACAGGAAGAAATGGACAGATCCTGAAAGAGGGAGAAGAGGAATCGATTAAAGAGAGGTAAGTTCGGCATGACAGTGCCGCTTTAGAGGTGCTTGTTTTCCTGGCACTGTAGAATCCTGGAGTGCCCTGCTCCCTACCGCCCGCCCCACATCCTTTTTGGGCATGTTTGTCCCTTTGGGCAGTTCTGGTTATGTGAACCAGAACCGCCCAGTCAGTTGCCCACCCTTTTACCCTTCCCACCGACATTCTGCTTCACCAAACCTGCGGTTAGGGGAGATGGATTTACTTGAAAGATGAAAGCTGGAGATTAGTATAGGGTATGTGTTTTCTAATTTGAGGATATAGGTTTCCCTCCAGCACCATCTCCACCACATACATGATGCTTGGGAGGTATGACTTTAAGTAGCTTTTGTCGATATAATTTTGTAATTAGACCCATCATAATTGACAGCACCAGGCCCAATGAGTTCTTAAACTGGCCTTGCTGTCATGGCACATATGACATCATGCAAGCTGTGTTTACTTGTGGATTTGACCACACTTTCTTTTCCATACAGACTAACAGATTGTGACAATTCCACCCCAGCGGGTTGCTCTACCTTCCTAATGGTTTGTAGAGCTGCCCATTGTCAATGCTACTTCCTTATTTGTGAGACCCTTGTCTCATTGACCATGATTGTCCATGCCATCCAAGGAAACTGCTTCAAATCCAGGATTTTTAAATCAACAGGTTCGGACATCTCATTGCACTCCTGATGAGCTCTTTACAGAGCTAAAAGTGAAACGAGTGCAGTCTGTCCTCCGTGGATAATATGTGGGTGACAGATCAGGCAATGCCTGTGGGAGTTCTGCCAAATGTTGCATCACATAGATCAATGCTTTTACCATTACTAGTAGATCAAGGAAACGGAGAGTGCCGAACCAGTTACTCAGGATTCGTACACATATAAACCTTTTCCTGTGGAAATGATATTGGTAATACATTTTGGGGAATAAGTGACCTCTTTCCATTTAAAATATTTTTATTTTAAAATTTCATGTAGACCATACCATATAGATATACTTTGGTTTATGGGTATTGCTTTTTGTTTGATTTAATTGTATTTACTGAAGGTTAAAGGGGAAATGTCACCTCTCTGGCATTTACACCAATCAATGAAACATTGAAATTTACCTAGAGCGTACGATAACCTTTTTTATTAGATGCTCCATTTTATTTCAATTTAAAGGAAATATTTATTAAATAGAATCGCAATCCACTTCAGACTAGGCACAGCCAGGGCACACAATGCTAATGAAGAGGAGAAGTAGTAACATTGTTTAAGTTTCCCTCTCTTTGCAGATTGCCAAGTGTAAAGGGCGGAGCTTATAACAATGATTGACAGGAAGTGAAGATAGAGGTGCCCGGTTATAGAATACAGAGCTGTGGGTTTCTACATTTTATTTTTTGACTAATTGCAAATATACATTTGTTGAATATGGAGATAAGTAAAAATAACATTAAAATCCTGGAAAGTGACAGTTCCCTTTAAAGTATTAACTACTTGTTATTTTCTCTGTTCTACCTATTTGGCAACCAAATAAATATCCCACAACATAGGACCGTACAGTGTCAGAACCCTGTCATAGTGTTATAACCTGGAATTAAAGGAACACTCCAACCACGCTGCAGTGTTTGTGTGTCCGAGTGGCCTGGTGCCCCCTAGTGGAAGTAGTCAAACATTTCACAACAGTTTGATTTCTTGGGGTCTTGCAGATGTCTCTAGTCGCTCTGAGCTAAGCCTTTGTGCAGAGACGTGCTAACATGGCTCTCCTGGAGGCTGCAGACAGGTCGACTCCAGGCAAGGAATCACGCCTTTCTAAACCGGTGTGACTGCTTACAATGAAGGCGCCAGGACATGCATGCTGTAGTGGTTTTGGTGTCTGAAGTGTTACTTTACAATGGATTTATTAGGCTTTACACTTAAAAAGGCACAAGTTTTTATTTCTTGTGAAACAAAAGTTAAACAACAACAAAACAAAAAAAAAATGAATTTGTTGGTTGCATAAGTATTTACCTATTCATTTAGGAAACCCCTAAATAAGCTCTAGTGCAGCCAATTAAGGTCACCGATGTTGAAGTGTCACACAATATTGAAATAAATACAGCTGCCCAAACATGAAAACCAAAAAAATATCATCAAAATCCAAGACAAACTTCTGAAAAAGCACCAGTCGGGTTTGGAAAAAATATCCCAAAGTTTGAACAGCCATCATTAAATCTATTATTTAAAATGCAAAGAATATGGCACAACCGTCACGCAGAGGAGACTGTCCACAAGCACTTAATGACGGAGAATGACGCCAATGGTAACACAGCGGGTCTGGACACATCTGCATTAGACATGGGAGAAACCAAGTGACAATTATAGCCTGTACTCTACAAACCCAAGTGTTCTGGAATTTACCAAACCGCAGATGGGAGACACAACAAAACACAGTGTGTGCTGTAAATGCATACTGCTAATTTGCCTGAGAACACAGCAGTAACAAAGAAAATGTAAAAAATCCTAACAAAATCCATTTAAATTCCAGATTTTAATACTACAAAATAGAGAACAGTCCAAGGGGATTAGTGAATATTTAGACATGGAAGCGCCATCATGTGGATAACAGGTATGTAGAACGGGAATATAGAGGGGCCATAACATTGAGGAAACGATTTGTAATGAGCAGGTCTCTACTTATATTAGGGACGTCTCCATCTCCAAAAAAATAAACAGGTGTGAAGCGATTTCTTCCACCCCATGCATGTTCAAAGTATCACACCCCATGCAGGAGCAGAGATCCTTACCCTGTTATAAAATAGTCCCCACCCAACTAATGCAAGAATGAGCACCCAGTATGCTCACAATCTCCCTCATTCTTATCACTATATTGATCATTCACTGTACTAAACATGACGATGATTTGCAGCTAGGGGAGACATTGTTCTAAGGCTATTTGCTCATTCCTCGGTTCTCCACATATACTTTACATCCACCGCAAGCTATGCTGCCCCCCCACCCCCCAATACTGGCCATGTGTCTATTATTCTGTCACCAAGTCATAAAGAACTAAATACTGTCCACATCTTCCTTATATAAACACCAAGTCAATATAAACCTGATACTGTCCACACGTCCTTTATACCAACAATAATTTCATATGCACCCCAATTCTGTCCACATCTTCCTTATATAAACCCCAATACTGTCCACATATTCTTTATATAAATAAACCTTCCATTTATCTTTCTGGCACTTCTCTCTATGATTACGAACACATTCCTTGAGGTGTGTGTTGGACACGCTCACCCTATTATGAATGAATGAATGCATGGGGTTTTGTCATGTCCCATAAGAGGTAATTGCAATTATTAATAAAAAGAGTGACCCCTTCTGAAGTCCAGGAGATTGTTCTCAACAGAGAGCTATTGCAATCTGTTCCATCGACACCCACCAAAGGCCAGGTTTCTCCATTCCCAATGAGTCAGGAGTGGGACAAACATAACTATCAGTCCCACTATTTGAGCAGTTTTCTTGTCTTTTGTGTCAACTGGTACAGATACTATTTATAGAAACTGATCCGGGGTCCACCAGTCCCAGCTCCTCCTGTTCATTTACGCACAAATGGTAGCCACAGCCTTTTCTCCGGGACAGTGGTGTCACTCGTCCATCTGGCTTGGCACGTGGTGGTAACAAGAATCCCACACTCCCTGCAATCAGCATGTGCCAAATGCTGTGAATGTAGAAATAGTTTTCCTCAGTCTCAACAAAGGCGTAGAGTGCCACGGCCGAGCTGGCGATGAGCAGTCCTGGACAGAGGTAGAAGAGCCATCGCTTCCACGTGGGAGGGTAACAGTGCCGTCTTCGGATTGTCCTGAAGGTCTGCCAATCAAAACGAGAAAATCACCTACACGAAGTGTAAACAACTTTCCTACAGGAACTATTGCATTGCAGTATACTAAGAAACCGTAATCTTTGTATCATGATGGTCTGTCAGAGGCATTATTATTTCCTTGCGTTAAACACGGTTTTAAACTGTAAATATGTTCCATGCCAACCAACTACACCAAGCCTTATCAATGACCTTACAAGGTCTAAATGCTGATCCTCTTTCCAAAACGGATCATCTTTTATAACCTTACATCTCAACCCTGGCCCTTCCACACAGCCTAATCCAGGTTCTCCCACACAGCCTAATCCGAGCCCTACCACACAGCCTAATCCAGGCCCTCCCACACAGCCTAATCCAGGTTCTCCCACACAGCCTAATCCAGGCCCTCCCACACTGCCTAATCCAGGCCCTCCCACACTGCCTAATCCAGGCCCTCCCACACAGCCTAATCCAGGCCCTCCCACACAGCCTAATCCTGGTCATTCCATACAGCCTAATCCAGGCCCTCCCACACAGCCTAATCCTGGTCATTCCATACAGCCTAATCCTGGTCATTCCATACAGCCTAATCCAGGCCCTCCCACACAGCCTAATCCTGGTCATTCCATACAGCCTAATCCAGGCCCTCCCATACAGCCTAATCCTGGTCATTCCATACAGCCTGATCCAGGCCCTCCCATACAGCCTGATCCTGGTCCTTCCATACAGCCTGATCCTGGTCCTTCCATACAGCCTGATCCTGGTCATTTCATACAGCCTGATCCTGGTCATTCCATACAGCCTGATCCTGGTCCTTCCATACAGCCTGATCCTGGTCATTTCATACAGCCTAATCCTGGTCCTTCCACACTGTCTAATCCTGATCTATCCATACAGCCTGATCCTGGTCCTCCCATACAGCCTGATCCTGGTCCTCCCATACAGCCTGATCCTGGTCCTCCCATACAGCCTGATCCTGGTCCTCCAATACAGCCTGATCCTGGTCCTCCCATACAGCCTGATCCTGGTCATTTCATACAGCTTAATCCTGGTCCTTCCATACAGCCTGATCCTGGCCCTTTCACATACAGCCTGATCCTGGTCATTCCATACAGCCTAATCCTGGCCCTTTCACATACAGCCTAATCCTGGTCCTTCCATACAGCCTAATCCTGGTCCTTCCATACAGCCTGATCCTGTTCCTTCCATCCAGCCTGATCCTGGTCCTTCCATACAGCCTGATCCTGGTCCTTCCATACAGCCTGATCCTGGTCCTTCCACACTGTCTAATCCTGGTCATTTCATACAGCCTAATCCTGGTCCTTCCATACAGCCTGATCCTGGTCCTTCCACACTGTCTAATCCTGGTCATTTCATACAGCCTAATCCAGGCCCTCCCATACAGCCTAATCCTGGTCATTCCATACAGCCTAATCCAGGCCCTCCCATACAGCCTAATCCTGGCCCTTTCACATACAGCCTAATCCTGGTCCTTCCATACAGCCTGATCCTGGTCCTTCCATACAGCTTAATCCTGGTCCTTCCATACAGCCTAATCCTGGCCCTTTCACATACAGCCTAATCTTGGTCCTTCCATACAGCCTAATCCTGGTCCTTCCATACAGCCTGATCCTGGTCATTCCATACAGCTTAATCCTGGTCCTTCCACACTGTCTAATCCTGATCTATCCACACAGCCTAATCCTGGTCATTCCATACAGCCTAATCCTGGTCCTTCCATACAGCCTGATCCTGGTCATTTCATACAGCCTGATCCTGGTCCTCCC